AAGCAAACAAACGTCGCCGAATGATTTGCATGCAGGTGCCGCTTCGCCCGCTGCTCCTGCACCATGCCTCCTGCTCCTGCTGCTTGTCCACGCCATCAACATTAAAAATTTGTATATCAAATATTGATCAGTATTGACGATTGCAAAAGTGGCGGGTCCGCGAGCCGGCAGGAAAGCCAGACACAATGTCAACTGCCTGGCACACATGCGTGTGTGTGTGTGTGTGTGTGTTAATTGTGCAGCAGCAAACAAAAGTTTTTATTTTATCGCTAACCGCAACGCTTAAAAGTATGAAATGCTTTTATTATTGGCATTTACAATGTGCAGCGAAAGGAGTCCAGGATTGCAGGAGCTCTCCAGCTGGAGCTGTGGAGCATCATTAATAACCGGAACATGAAACTTTCGCCCAGCCGCTTGATCGATATTCGTAATCTCACTTAACATTTGCGCACAAGTACGCACATGAACGCACCTGCCACCCACACACTCACGCACACACCCATGCACACCCACGCACACCCACACACACTCTTAAAAGTCTTGTCGAGCTTCATTGTCTCTGCTGTGCGACGTCCGTGTCCATGCGGTCCAACTAAGCGGAAGCTGTTGGAATTTACCAACGCTTAAACTTTAATGCTGTGTACAAGAGTACTTTTTATTGTTGTCCTGCTTTGCTGTGTGTGTGTGTCTGCTCTTGTCTCTTCTTCTTTTTTCTCTTTCACTTTTTTGTTGTCATTCGCTTTACCTAGCCACCTACGTCCCTCGGCCGTTGGGCTTTCAATTTTTTTCTTTTTTGTACTGCATGTCCTTTGCCTGGCTGCCCGCTCCAATTGAACCTAATCCGGCTGCTAAAGTATTAGCTACGTAGTTGTATGCTCATCCCGGCTGTCCAAACTGCCTTATGCTGCTTTTGTTGTTTGCTGGCATTTAAAAAACAAAAAGCATCGACTCACTCCAGCCCCAGCCGGAGGTGGCCAACGGTGCACCAACTATGGCCAGCTGGAGGTCTGTAAAAACTTTTGCCTCTGTCTGAGCATCTGCAGTCATAGCTATAGCTGGAGCTGGAGCTGGAGCTGGAGCTCTAGCTGTCCCCTCACTTAATAACAAGGCGACAGTCGCTCTATGTGTATGTGTGTGTGTGTGTGTGTGTGTATGTCACCCTGTCGGTTGCAGAAAATGAACGACAGTTACTTGGCCCTTGCAAACGACGAGCATACTAATCTGTCTCCTCCTTTATCTCCGCCTTCGCCTCCGCCTCCTCCTTCTGCTGCTTCTGCTCTACCCTCCCGTCGTCATGTTTTCCGTACAGCACGTAAATGAAGTAAATGAGCGAGAACTCCGATCATTGTGTTTGGCAATGAGGCGCTTATAGGAGCTCTCGGATTTTGCTTTGTTTCACCAGTACATAGCGAAATCTATATATCATCCATCTATATTTTATATATGTATGTGTGGAGCCATCAGCTCATCTGTAAAGCAGGTAGCGCACTGGCAGCTCCACAAAGACACGCCTGACAGTCGATATCAATGAATGCCACTCAGTTGCTGCTAAAAAATTAAAACACTATGCGACAGATCCGATCTGACACGATGTGATGGCAAGTGTCAGGTGAGCGCGCTTAGGTTTACACAGCCGTCAACATGCCGTATGATTGATTTTCTAGTCATAAACCAAGCAGGTCAGCAGCGGCAGGAGCAGCAGCAACAGTAGGAGCAGCGGCAGCTCCACATGAAACTGTAAACTGAACGTGACCAGATAAATGCGGCAAATATTAAACGGAGAGCGTAAGCTTCAATAATAATAAAAGTTATAAATCTTAGCATTGGCTGTCGCCGCTCCGGATGAGAATCAGCTGAGGCATGAGAGGATGTGGCCATTCAGAAAGGGCACAGAAGGCGACGACGAGGACATGCTGCAGCGTGGCGATAATAACAATTTATTGCACGCACACAAACAACCCCAAACATAAGTACACACACACACACACACACAGACAGACACACTCATGTGTAGCGCTGCCAAGTGCCGGAAAATGCCGCGAGACACAATTGCAACAAGAACAACAACCACAGAAACAGACACAGCCACAGCAGGAGTAGCAGGAGTAGCAGGAGTAGCAGGAGTAGCATCAGCAGACAGCGCAAAGCAAAGCAGTGGGAGCTGGGTAGCCAGACGGGCATAAAAACCACACAATAATAAAAATGAACAATGACAGGTTAATAGCAAATAAATGAAAGCCCATAAGAAAAAGCGCAACAACAGCAAAATACTAAAGAGAGAGCGAGAGAGAGAGAGAGAGAGTGACAGAGAGCTGCGATAATGGCCAAGAGCTGAGCTGAGCAAAGAGTGCATCAAGTTGCTTGAGAACAAACTTATTCGCTCAGTGTAGGCCATTGATATATGGTTTTCAATTTTCAAAACCATTGACCACTTACAGCAGCAACAGCAACAACAACAACAGCCACAGCAACAACAGCAACAACTACAACAATAGCGCCAAGCTAAATGGTGGAAAAATGTCTGAGGAAAATGGCAACGAGGCGCCACAAGTGGATGCTGGCATATTTAAAGCATAACCACGCACGTAAGCGACTCGTTAGAGCCGAGCCAGGGCAGCCAAGGCAGGCGGCGCAGGCAGAGCCGATTGTCTGGCTAATGGCCGCAATCGTACTTAACAGCTTCACATAACGGCAATAATGGCCAACGACGGCTTGGCAGCGACCCGCACTGGACTGACTCAACTGGCTCAACGGCAAACAGGTTGACAAAATGCAATGGCGAATGCACCGAGTGCCCTGAATAATTATCATCAACATTACAGTTACACCATTACAGGTAACAGGAATCAATAGTCAATTTCGAGTCATCTGACTGAGCGAATGCTCATGAGAATATATAGATTATATACATAATGAAATATTAAAATGTAAACTTTTTTTTAAATATGTGAACTCTGTAATGAGTTTATTAATTTATTTCCTTGAGACTAGGACTAATAAAAAATAATTTATAATAATTTTAAAATCAAAACTAATTTAAGAATAAAGCAAACTGAGGCCTTTAGTTTGGCTGAAAAAAATAACGAGCTGAAATATTTTGACCTAAATTACAAATTTGATCCATGTCAATTAAATTAATCAAAATTTATAATATAAATAACATTTATGCTTTAATTCAATTAAATTAATTGTATATTTTTCGCATTTGATCAAAATTTATATAGTTTGAAATTTAATGTCACATAAATGAATATAAAAAATAACACAATAGATATTCATTTGCATACGCAATAAATTCAAATTTATGCACACTTTTTGCTGCAAGCAGAAAAAAAAAAAAAATAAAAAGTACAAAATAAATAGAAAATATTTATTATATTTATGGGAAAATATATTTCATAAATCTATTTTATTTTCCCAATTTTATGTTGCACAAATGCTGTTAGCTGTTTAAATTTTAAATTTCGGCAAATGGCTTTAAGGAGAAAGAGGTTGAGAGAGAGGGGGTGGGAGTAGAAAATCGATCACCTGCTTAAAGTTGAGACGCCCACGAGACGCAGCAACAGCAGCAACAGCAGCAACAATGGCGGCTACTTGGCAGCTGTGCCAACGCCTGGGCGAACGCATCTGTCAACGTCCTTAGAGTTTAACAAAGAAGGACACTGCGAGTGCACATAGGGAGAGCCAGACACCGGGCCACTTTATAAGCCAAATTTAACGCTTGCTCGTTGTTGCTGTTGCTGTTGCTGTTGTTGCTGCTGTTGCTGTTGTCGTTTGCAATGCGCTTTGTCTGTTTGCTTTGTGGAAGGACAAGCATGACGACAACTGCTCCTGCTGCTGCTGCTGCTTTTAGTCGCCCCTTTTCGTCTCACTCGCTTTTTGGCAATTCGCCTGTGGATCTTACAACGAATTCAATTGAAAATTTCAGCAGACACTCGACGGGGAACGAGCATTGCAAATTTCAAAACAAATTTGCCGCAACGCAACAGCAGCAAAGTTTTTGCAGAGAAGTTGAAACTTTGATTCGCTTCGATTCGATTCCCTTCGATTTTCAATTCTCAATACTTTGTCCCCTAGTCCCCTGCCACCCCTCGCCGCCCTGCGCCACGTCTGGTCAAGTGCGGACGTGCGTTTAAGTGTTACGTATGCGTCACGTTGTCCAATGCACTTCAACTGGGCTCAATTGGCAGCGTCTCGTCTCCTGCTCCGTCTGGCTGGTTGTCTGAGGAGCTCAGTGTTCGGCTGTTTGCTTAGTGCAGTTTTCACTTTGTGGGCGTTACACAAAAAAAAAAAAAAAAAAAATAACAAACAGCCGCGCCCACCGCCCCCCGCCCACACACTGAACCAGAGTCCTGTTCAGGCAGACTTTCTTATGCTATTTACTTTTGCCTTCCACACAGCCAGACTTGACGTTAGTTTTGTTTGCTTCCCTGTGTGTGTGTGTGTGCTTGTGTGTGTTTACCTTTCGTTTAGCAATGGCTATGACAAAATCAAAAGCAAATCGCTGAGCCAATGCCAAAGTGGAAATTGTCAATAATTTCAAATTGATTTCTATTTGATTGAACACAACAACACCAAAGACAATTGAATGAAAGTAAACACCTAGCAATGGGCACTATAATTGCACCAACACCAATATCAAAATACCTATTTCCGTTTAGTTTAGCTCGACTTCAGTCTCTTTGAAACCGAAAGTGAAGAAGTGAAAGTTTGACGGCCCAAATAGCATTAGACAGTTGGCCATTACGGGCTTGGCCAGCTTTTACGAGGCATCATAAAAAGCGTTACTCGAACTGCGCCCGTCTCGTAAAACTCGTGAAATTCCTGGGCTGGCAGCCATAAAGGCAAATCGATAAGTGGGCCCAAAGTGTTGGCATCGCTCGTAAAGTAATCGAAATGGAGCGCAGGGCAATCAAGTCGCTGGACTTAATGTACTTGGGAATTATACGCTAATTATATTTGTAATTCTTATTCTATTCATGGCATAAAGTGATTCTTACCCTGCTTGGGCGATACGCTAAGCACCTGCTGCGGCGACTGTTGCTGCGAGTGAATTTGGTATTGCTGCTGTTGCTGCTGCTGTTGTTGTTGCTGCTGTTGCTGCTGCTGTTGTTGTTGCTGCTGCTGCTGCTGTTGCACGGCCACCGCCTGCTGCTGGGCGGCACAGACGGCAGCGGCCACGGCTGCTTGCTGCTGCTGCTGATGATGAGCGGCTGCGGCGGCAGCTGCTGCTGCTGCTGCGACTGCCTGCTGCTGCGACTGCTGCTGATGCGGCGACTGGGACTGCGGATGCTGCTGCTGCTGAGTCGTAACAATGGACATTTGCTGAGACGATTGCTGCTGCTTAACATTGACCTGGTGCTGGGCCTGCTGCTGCTGCTGCTGCTGCTGTGCCGTAGCCTGCTGCTGCTGCTGCTGCAGATGCGTCTGGTGTATGGCCAGCAGCTTCGTCTCGTACGGCTTGGCCCCGACCGACAGCGGCTGACTGCTGAGCGTCATCTGTGCTGTTGCTGGCATCATTAGTGTGGGCATTGCCAACATTTTTTCGATTGCTGCTGTAGCTGTTGCTGCTGCCGCTGCTGCTGCTGCTGCTGCTGTTATTTGTGGTGCTGTCGCTGTGGTGTTGCTGTTGCACGTTTTGCGGTTTAACGCAACTCGCTTTGATGTTTAATGAAGTGCCGCCTCACAGTTGATGTGTATCATCAAATCGTGTTAAAATAATTTTCGGAGCATACGTTTGTCTTTTATTTTAAATATATTTATTTTGATTTTGTTGTTGTCGTTTATATTTATATATTTTTGTGTGTTGTGTGAAACCGCACTTTTAATTGCTGTTGTTGCAGGTTGTTGGTTTTGCGTGTTCCTTTTTTAATATTTTACGGAAATCATTTGGTGCGTTAAATGATTTCTACAATTTTACTAATTTCAAAAGTTTTTTTTGCGGTTTGTGCTCGCATTTATTTGCCGCCTGCCGTTTTGCGTTTGCAGTTTTTGATTCAATTTTTACTATTTAATTTTGCCTTCCCTTCACTTATCACAGACCAATAAGATATTAACTTTTTTCTACAAGTTCTGGCGCTTTCCAATTTTTACTGGTTAAAAAAAGGAATTTTTGTTTTAATGCATATAAGTATATAATTGAATATATATATAAATACACGTACAAATTAAGTTATTTAAATGTAAATCATATGTCATGAAAATATATAACAAAAAATTAATAATTAAATATTATTATTATTGTTAATGCTTGAAATTAAATATTCATCAAATTAAAAATTAAATTATATTTAATAGTTGTGTTTGCATTTTTTTTAGTATATTAAAAAGGTAATTAACAAATATGAAACGTGCTTTTGGACTGAACCTCATTTAATAAATTTCAAATTTATTTTTTCATATTTATTTAACTAATCTGATTATTTGGGGCAACACTACGAAATAACCCTTCTCCAAGGCCCCATCAGCTGCGTGCTGCGTGCTTCAGAGTGCTAAGCCATCATCTTTTTTTTCCCTCTCTCTTTTTGGGTAATTGCAGTTTTTATGATTCGGTTTTATGATGTTCCTTAAGCACAAACATAACGTTCTGGGGCGCGGGCATTATCGTATATCAAGCCTAAGCCATTCACACATCATTTGAAAAATTAAATTTAATATTTTACGATTTTCGGGTGAGCGTGTATTTGTGTGTATACAAAGCAAAGCTTGAGCCAACAAAAAATAAAAATTATGCGCGTAACGCAATGCGAAACAGCAGCAGCAGCAGCAGCAGCAGCAAGAACAACACGAACAAAATTATAACAATAATAATAAAAGGCAGCTGAATGTAAGCGCTGCTTTTTATGCGAGCGACGCGCGCCCAAGAGACAAAACAACAGAAGCCAAAAGCGAGAAACGAGAAACGAGAAACAAGAAACGAGAAACCAGAAAACCCAAAACTCTTCAAACTCCAAAAATCGCACGCCCCAAGTGTTGGCAAGTGTCAGGATCAGGCGCTGCGACAGCCACAGCTACTGAGCCAGAGCCAGCGCCTCAGTCGGCGTTAACGTCAGTCTAACGCTTCCGGTTTTTATAGCGCAACGCGCACAAAAGCCCCAGACAGCGGCACAGAGCCGGAGGAGACGGACAAATGTTATGTATAAATATAAACTTATATTTTTATTTTTGAAAGCCAAAAACACATACAACACACACACACACACATACAGAGTAGACGCAGTAAAAAGCAACGAGTGTATAACAAATGCCAAAAAAAAAACAGTGTACAATACACAGCATTCGTTGTCATCTAACTGAAATTTGTGTGTGTAAGTGTGTGTATGTGTGTATGATTCATACACACAAATGCACTGGCCTTTTTATATGGCCACGCTGTGTCGGCGGCTTTCGGCGTTGGCTGGCTGGCTGAAAGCATTTATTGGCTGCTCGTTGTCGGTTTATGTGCCACATAAGCCGAAGTGGCAGAATGTGTGCATGTATCTGTGCATGCATGTGTATGTGTGTGCATATTGTTGTTGTACATAGTGTGTCCAAAAAAATTAAGAAGAAGAAAACGAAAGGCAAACACCGCAACACCAGCACCGACACCAACACCAACACCAAAAGCAGCAGCAGACAAAAAGTCATTGTGTTCCTTGTAAATAGAACTAAAATCGATGCGTACAACAATTTTTATGTTCAGACTCTTCAGCAAATCGCACATAAAACATCAAGTGCATGTGTAAAATTGCACGTTAAAATAGAAATACATAAACTTAAACTATGCCCATTCACAATCAGACACTATCAGAGTCTCACAGCACGTTGCCCCAAAAAGTATGCTACGAAAAATTCAATTGGAATTTCACTTTTAAATCGACTTAAATCAACGCAAAATAACTTGAAATGAAAATGAAACTTAGATGAAACTCAGCTCGAAAATAATATAAAACTAAATTTTTATTTTTTTAACAGATAAAAGCAGTATTATCAAATTCTACAAACAATTAAACTTATTTACTTTGTCTAAAATTTTTTTTCAGTTTTATTTTTATGTTTTTTAATTTATTTTAGATTTTCGACTATTTGTCGCGTCGTGAACTGCGTTTTGAGTTTATATTTTGATGTTTGGGTTTTATTTTGTTGTTTTTACTTTGCGTTTGAATTTCCGTGTTGCAGTTGTTGCGTTAATAGATGGGTGTTGTTATTTTGTTTTGCTTAGATTTTTTGTTTTTGTTTTTGTTTTTGATTTTTGTTTTCTTTTTGTTTGTTTGTTTTTTTTTTTTTTTTTTTGGTTTTGGTTTTGGATGTTTTTTGTTGGTTTGTTTGGAAATTATAATAACAACTTAACAACAATGTAACGAATATCCTTTCTTTACGAGGACACAATTCAAACTGATTGCGAAGCGCGCTCGTCGTCCTCCCAAATAGTCAAAGACATTGTCCGCTGAGGCATACCGTTATTCTGCCGGCGTCGCTGCCGCGCTGCCTTCGCTCCGAGTCCGGCACGCACACGAATCGCCTKCCAATCGTCCTGGCCAACTTCGTGTCGCGGCTCGCTCAGGCCTGCGCAATCTCACAGTTCGAAATGGTTCGTGTCTCTGCTAAGCGTGCTGAATCGAATGCTTTATAGCACACTGAGCTGCTAAATTTCCCAGTGTAAGGTAGGTTTATGGCACGGCCAGCTGTTATACTCTGCTCTCTGATGCTGCTTAAGAGGATGTCGCACAAAGTACTTGTGTTTCCCATGTAACGGCGGCTACATTGTGACGCGGATAGGCGCACCTTGACTCTGGCATGAGCGGCTTTGCGAACAGCAGCAGCAGCAACAGCAGAATAATGTCAAATGTTAAGCATATTATAGACAAACAAACAGCACGCACACACACACAAGCAGTAACTCTCACGCATTTACAGACAACCCCGCACATAGTACACACTATTGTTTATGCGCTAAAGAGCCAATAATCCACTTTTGTTTTGTTATCATTTGCGCGCCCTTAAACCACCCGAGCAGCCGAAGAAGGGAGCTCCGATCACCCAACCCCACGGCCAAGAGGACATCAAGCCACCCCAAACAGGCTAAGCGCCTTTGCCGCTGCTTTCACCCGTCTCCACTTAATTTCTACTTGATTTGTCGCTTAAGAAAACTAATTGTCTGCCTTTTGTTGAGCGTGAAAACAATAGAAAACATTTTAGCAACTGTTACTTTAGCCGAAAGCGTATTAGAAACATGGCCAAGGCGGCGGCGGGCGGCAGGCGGCGGAGCTAAGCACGCAGCTATGTTGCGGCTAAGGCGAGGCAAAGTGGCTGACGAAGTGGCTGGCGGCTTTAATGGTTTCGGTCTCTTTGGCCATGGCTAGCAGCTGCTGGCGTTTGTTTTCTGCCTCACAGTTGGCCTACGACGCCTTCAAGGTCGTTTGCTTTAAGCGGAAATGCAAATGTAATTTTAGTGCCAAAATAGTTGCAAAAGAAAGAAACAAAATTCAAGCCCTTGAAGCTAATTGGCGCGCTCCACAAAATTACTTTGATCTTTCGATTCTCGCCTAGACTCGATGCTCGTTCTACATGCATCGGGGGCATGGCTAGAAATGCATTCTAATTCATTTTTCATTTAACAATTAGAGCAGCGCTGCAGCTGCGAGCGCAACTCACACGGAAACTCAACTCGCTCTGCATATTCATGCTCAAGCAACGCAAACAAACCGAATGCTGCTCAAGTTTGCGAGCCATGTTGATTTCGCAGCCAACAATCACAAACTAGCAATTGCAATGCCAGTTGCAGTTGCAGTTGCAGTTGCAGTTGCAATTGAGTTTTGAATGCGAAAATACACGTGAATATCAAATATCTACGCAAAAAACTATTCACACTCTGCACTCAAGTCAAACAACAAAGTTATTTCGAATATTTGCATGCATTAAATATAAATAATATTAAAGAAATTGTAAATTCTATATAGAGCACATATCACACAGCAGAAGTATTTGAAATTTGAAGATAATAT